ATTGTATTTTTGTAAGCTTAAGAATGTATGCTCGTGTGATGTCCTTACCTCTCCCCATCCAGTCGCAGCTCGTCTAGGCATCCAGATGTGCTCGTGAGGTCGCTCCAAGTTTGTGATCGAATGGGGCTCTGTATTTTGAGCATTTGCGTATATTAAGTGCCTATCATTAGCTTCCCATGTTACCAGAGATCAACATGACCTCTAGTAAGGTCGCTAAGTGCAGGGTATGTTTGCTAATTGATTTATACAGGTAACACGAAGTATAATGTATAGAAGGTATTATACTTCGAAGTACCACTCCGTCCCAAATCACTGACACGTTTGGACATTCTATTAGTTGTGAAATTAGAAAACAATCAATTTTATTAACAATATTACTTTATCCAGTACAGTTGAGCCAATCACAAGGAAGGTGACATGGGTACATTTAGGTGACATTGACATCTTCCTGGGAATTAAATTATACAGCCGAAGTCACCTCTTGTTTTCGATATATTTGAGACAATCTCCATACATTCTTCAAGTCCAGTGAACATTTGAAAATTTTGGGTTGAGCGGCTGATTTTATTCGAAGAATACACACGCAGTTGTTGGACGAATGGCAATATAATTATATGACCTTATAGCCAAGATCCTACTCTTTTGGTTGGTACAAATTTCACACAAATCCAATCATTGGTCATAATACCACAATGTGGCAAACATCAAACGTGTCAGTGATTTGGGACGGAGTGGTATATGTTAAAGGTAAACCTTTGATATTCTTTTTGTCAACTTATATACGTACGTGTCCGACTTGAATTGACTGTCCGACACGTATTACTGTATTACACTTGACGGTACTCCAGTATTATGCTACGTATTTCACTTGACGGTATTATGAGACGTATTTCACTTGACGGTATTATGATTTGGATCGAAAATCTCAAACAAGCTTTCATGTCACGTGGATGATGTTGGTACAAATGTCGTTCTGCCTTGCTCGTAGAACAATGGCAATGTGGTAAGGTTGCCATTTTGGACGGCGTTGCTACTGTAAAATGAATGGACATGGTGGCCCGACACAAAAGCCTCTGTCTTCACCTGCCTTCAACGACTCCAGTACTGTGCGCTGAATCTGCATTTGATTGGCAAAGTGCACCAATTTCAGTTCAACATTTCACTTTTCCTCGATTCAGATTGGCTTCGTAAAATAACCCAATGACAGCCGAATCTATTGTCATTGGATTGGCCGATTCAAGCCAATCGCAGCAATGTATACTCCGTCGTCAATCCTGATGGCGAGGGCACTCTCTTCACTCTCTCTCTTCCTAAGGTCGTCCCCTTGAACAATGAGAAGCCGCCGGCTGCGCCATCAACCGCCTATACGCGTAGGAGATGGGCCGTCCATTCGTAACTTCGTAAACTGCTTTATTGCTTCACAACTAAATCCCAGTCCTCGACATTCCGACCATTCGCAATATACTCACTCTCACAAAGTATCTATGGACATCCTTCAGCCAATGGCATCACAGCGTGGACACTAGCGAAGGGTTTCGACGTCAGGTCGCATGTTGAGCAGTATAAACAGTGATCACATTCACAAACGCAACAAACACATGAAAGCCGTGAGCACACTTCTTGGCGTGGCTGTTGCCGCCACTGCTAGTGCCACGGCGGCAGCTACATTGTCCACGTGCTCGTCCGCCTTGTTCTCGACGGCATCACCTCCCGCCTGGGCACCGTTGGGGGCGGCCAGCCCCGTGTCCCTGCGCAGCATTGTCCAAGGCGAGTCCATATGTGTCCAAGTGTCATTGCAGAACCAACCCACTGCCACATGGTTCGCCCTCGCCATTGCCAAGTCCAGCCGCATGATCAACTCACCCCCAACCAACGCAGTCTTGTTCACAACGCACAACGCCACCGCCGCCCTGTACGTCCTCGAAGACGCGGCGCCACTGGGGGTGCACTACCAACCCGACCAAACGTCGTCACTCCGAGTGGTGGACTCTGTCGTGGCCAACGGCGGCATCACGCTCACCTACGAGCGGCCCCTCGCAGCTGCCTCGTCGTTCGACGTGCCCATCACCCTGGACGTGCCGACGACTGTGAATTGGGCGGTGGGCTTCTCCACCTTTCCCGACTACCACGAACTCCAAGGCTCCGCGCACGTGACGTTCACCGATGGTCCCAAGCCGCCATCTGTTTGCTCGCCCTCCTTGTTGAAGGAAGTACCAGCGGTCCGATTGAACGACGGCCCTTTGTCCATCCAAAGTGTGTTTGTCGGTGCGACGACGGCGTGCATCCAAGTGACCCTGACGGATGCCCCTGAAGCCGCCTGGTTCGGGCTCTCGTTTGCTCCCACAACCAATATGATCAACTCCCCCGCCAACAACGCTTTGGTGTATCACATCCCCAACTCCACCGCTGTCACGTACGACTTGGTGGCTGCCGCGCCCGAATCGGTCGTTCCTTCGGCCAACCAAACTGCATCGTATCACCTTGTGTATGCGTCGTCGGTTGATGGCAAGGTCACGTATGTGGTGGAGCGGACGTTGGCTGCGGCTACAGCTACGGACGTTGCAATCCTAGCCGACAAACCCACGATTGTCAACTGGGCAGTTGGCTCCACTTCGTTTCCGGACTATCACGAAAGCCAAGGATCAGCGCGGTTGCAGTTTTCCAAGTACGGTGTCGCAGCTGCTTCCATTAAGCCGTTAGTAGCCCCCCTTGTCACCAGCTCTAGTGTGTGTGACGAAGCCGCGGTCGCATCTACCCCAGCCGTCCATCTCGGGGATGGCCCGTTGTCCATTCAGAGCATCGTGGTCGGTGGTTCTGCATGCATTCGGGTCACTTCTACCGACACGACGCTGGCTTGGTTTGCCATCTCGGTGGCTCCCACGACCAACATGATCAACACCCCCACGAATAACGCGATCGTGTTCCAACTCAAAGATGCGTCTGCACTAGTGTACGACCTCCACGACGCCGCGCCCGACTCTGTCCTTCCGCACCCCAACGCGTCCGCGTCCATCCGTGTGCTTCACGTATCGTCTTCGTCTACTCAAATCTCGTACTTCTTCGAACGCACGCTGGCCGCCGCCACCTCCACCGACGTCGCCATCTCCACCACCGAGTCGAGTCCGACGATTGTCAACTGGGCAATTGGCATGTCCGCCTTTCCCGACTACCACGACGTGCAAGGCTCGACCAAGTTGGTGTTTACGTCCACCCACGTGTGGGACTTGGACCACCCTGTCGCAGATCCCCCCTGCAACCACGTCACATTCGCGTCCATCTCGTCGGTCACTTTGTCCGAAGAGAGCCGGTTGTCCCTCAAGTATGTCGTGCAAGGGCCCAATGTGTGCATCCAAGTGGTGCTATTGAATCCGCTGGCCACGTGGTTTGCCATCTCGGTGGCCCCCACGACCAACATGATCAACACCCCCACCAACAATGCGCTCGTGTACCTCGTGCACAATGCGTCGGCGCACACGTTTGACCTGGTCGATTCGGCGATCGATTCCGTCGTATTTGGAGGTCACCAGTCGTCCGTTCACGTCGAGTCGTCGTCCAACGTGGACGGGGTTGTGACTGTCACGTTTCGTCGGCCGCTGGTTGCCGTAGGCCCCACCGACGTGGCCATCTCAACCACGTCGCATACAATTGTCAACTGGGCCGTGGGGTTCACGTCATTCCCAGACTACCACGACGCCCAGGGCTCGGCGTCCATTGCCTTTGGCACGCCCGTGCTGCCGCCACCCCCTGTGTGCAGCCAAGCGTCTTTTCCATCCACCGTCCGAGCCGTGAACCTCGGGCCCATCGCGCTCAAGTCGACCCTCCTCGGGCCATTTGCGTGCTTCCACGCCACCCTGCGGGGGTACCCGAATGCGACGTGGTTCGCACTGTCCGTAGCCCCCACGACCAACATGATCAACACCCCCGCCAACAACGCGATTGTATTCCACGCGGCTAATGGCACGGCGGCGCTGTACGACCTCCTCGACTCGGCCCCCGACGGCGTTGTGTACCAGCCCGACCAATCCCCGCTCAAAGTTCTTCATAGTTCGGTCGTGAACGGCGACTTGGTCCTGCTGTTTCAGCGCCCCGTCGCCGCCACCGTCCCCACTGACGTGGCGATTTCACTCACGGGCCCTAACCTCGTCAACTGGGCGGTCGGGACATCCGCTTGGCCCGACTACCACGACATCCAAGGCTCGGCTTTGATTCAATTTGACGTGGCGACGGAGACGCAATCAGTTTCCCCTACCAAGACGACTGTCGTGCCTACGTATACGTCGTGGATTGCTGCGACGACGTTCACTTTGATTGCGCTCTTGGGGGCCATCGTCACCCACTCCGGCAGCTTTCGATGGGCCAAGCACCAACGTTTGACTGCCCCTCCAGCCACAAACTTAGGGTGGTTCTCTGGCCTCGTCAAGACTTTGGCAGATGTGACGTGGGGCGAAGTGGTGGTCGTGGCCATCTACGTCCTAGCCCTTGTGGGGGTGGCCATATCTGTGCTAGTGCAGTTCCCCACCGCTACTTCTTCGCGACTCGTAGCTTTAGTCTCTGGTCACGTGAGCTTGCTGTCGCTGACGTTCATTCTGCTGCCCGTGGCCCGAGGCGCGCACTGGGAATGGCTGTTTGGGGCGTCGCACGAACGCCTGATCAAGCTGCATCGGTGGCTCGGTCGTGTGTTTGTATTGACAGCGACTTTGCACTTAGTGGCAAACCTGCCGTTGGCCACGTATGCCAAGTCGTTTGGGTCGCAGCAGGTGGTCCCAGTGTTTGGGTTTGTCGCGTACCTGTCGTTCGCGTCCATGGCGCTCTTGGCGTTGGAATCGATCCGCCGCCAGACCTTTGAAGTGTTTTACTACTACCACCGTGTCGCATCGATCGTCGGACTGGTGTTTGTGGTGCTCCACAGCGCCACGATTCGAGCCGCGATGGGCGTGCCGCTGGCACTGTACGCTGCCACGTATGTGTGGCGATTCCGAGGATACTTGAACAAGTACCATGCCCACATTCAGTCGCATGTTCCCGGCACCGTCGTGTTTACACTGCCTGTGACACCGCGAACCCAAACGTGGGCTCGCACCATGAACCCGTGCTCATTCTTTTGGGTCAACATCCCGTCCGTGTCGGTATTGCAATGGCATCCGTTTTCAGCCGTGGTGACCCCCGACGGCCATTCGATTGCGTTTTGCATCAAAGCGCTCAAAGCTGGGTCGTTTGCCGACCAAGTGATCGCCCAGGCCAAGACCAACCTCGTGTCCATGACGCTGTTTGTGGGCGGGCCGTACGGAAAGCCGTCGGTGGACTTTACCAAATACGACGAAGTCATTTTGATCTCGGGCGGCATCGGCGTCACCCCGTTCGTGAGCCTCGTCAACCAACTCCCCCATACCCTTCCCAGTGCCCCGTTCAACACGCACATTCAGTTCCACTGGGTTGTGCGGACAGAAGCCGAGCTCCTCGTGGCGGACAGCCTCATGTTTGCCGCCCCCCTGCCGACTTTCGTCTCCCCCCGCTACTACGTGGACGGGAGCGCCATCGACGGATCCGTCGTGACCGCTGACGGTCATACGATTGCGTACACTGGCACCCGCCCCAAACTCGACAAAATCCTGAGTGCTGAATCGTATGTGGGCAAAAAGGTGTGCGTGCTCGTGTGTGGCCCCCCTAGTTTGGCCCTGAGCGTGCAAACACATGCGTATAACGCCGGTTTTGACTTCCACAAAGAAGTGTTTGAGTATTAACGAGTAATTGAGTTTGGATGGAGCAACTGTGCAAAAACAATCGATATACATATAAACAAGTCGTGTAGCCGCCCGTACAGTAAACTATACTGCATGTAGCCGCCCGTACAGTAAACCTATACTACATGTATCTCATTCCAGGCAGTTGAGATGCGCTGGAGAATACATTTCCAACCAACACCCGTGGAAACCCCACCACTTCTCAGCAATTCAAGTCAAGATGAGTGAATAATGCGCCACGTGTCCGTGGAATGTGTGGTCACAGGCAGCGGCCACAACGATCGAGCTCCGTGTCGAGTAGCCCTCGTGGATTTGCACAATCGCGTGTCATGGTCCGCTATCATCCTCGTGACGCCAGTTCTGGATCCATTGACGGCTATCACGGGCCTCACGACGGCTCAAATTCAAGCGAAAGGGAGGCCGTTCGATGTTGTGCGAGACGAATTGATTGGCCATCTTGGCCTGGGCATGGTCCTGGTGGGGCAAAAGGTCACCAACGATGTTGGCTGGATGCAGCTGGAAGCTGGCACGCAATACGCGAGGACCGTAAACTTGGCCGAACTGTTTCGGGTGTGGAACCCTCACTTCGAGCACTACATGTACTTCACCCTTCGCAAATAAGTGTACGTTGCATTTGGGGCTGTTGTCGGGGGATCCATGACCCTGTTGAAGATGAGATGTGGTCGATGCGGTTGGCCCACCTCATGAACGATCCTGCGCGACTGGAAAAAGTCAAACGACAACCGGCCACCCTGTCGCATAAAATGCAGTTTCCCAAAGCTCTGACTGAGAAAGTCGCCGTGGAAGGCGTGTGCACCTACGCGTTTGACCCCGTGCGACCACCCAACGACCTGACGATCGACCTTAGCTCATGTATAACTTTTTGTTCAAACGAGTTTTGATCAGTAAGTGGAGCAATTCTGTAGCCAACATCACGTTTTGTCAGTAACGTTACTTGCTAATAGTACAAGAGGTCTAGTTATTAGGGTACATAGCCTTAATTATCGCCCAGTGTACTATTTACTCCCCCTCCGCCACGGAAGTATCGCCCTTTTAACCCTAATCCGCCCCCCCAGACGAAATACTAGTAAATGCGAAGCAAACGTAAGGAGACGTAAAAATGGGAAAAATCGCTGTGAATATTGGGTTCTATCGCGGCCTGGTTAAATAATTTTAGTTTACTTGTGGCTAGGACACTTTGGCAGCTTTGACAGCATTCTGGGTGCGGCAGATCCACCGCTGGACAAACGACGGTCCGGATTTGAATTTTGTTGACGGTTTCTTCGAGGTAGATTGAGCAGCAGCTTCTTGTCGGCCGCTCACGTACGGATGCTGCAGCACTTGGGCCATGGTCAGTCGTGCGTTCGGGTTGGGGTGCAGCATCTTCTCGAGGAGGTCCAGCGTCACACAGTCGAAGCGGTGGCTCAGCTGCCATGAGTGCAGGAGCGCACGCAGGCCATGGGTTTGGACGAATTGGAAGCGCGAGTCGGTCGCCGACGCCGTTTCGCACAGCGGGGCCCCCGTGAGCATCATAAACAGCACCACACCAAGCGACCACACGTCGGCTTGCACGGGCCTGTACGCTTGCTCCGCGACGATTTCAGGGGCCATGTAGAACGGCTTCCCCACCACATCCGTACGGAGTTCGGTCGTGGCGGCCGCCAAGCCGAAGTCACTCACGTGGCAGTTGTTCTTGTCGTCTAGGAGGACATTCTCCAACGACACATCGCGGTGGGCCACGCCTCGGCTGTGCATGAAGGCCACGCCGTGCACAATTTGGCGAAAGTACCGCTGAGCTACGTCCGGATGAAGCATGCCTGCGTTGCTCACTAGGTCGAAGAGGTCGCCGTTTTGGCAGTAATCCATGACCAAGTGGTCATAACCTTGCTGGATAAACGACTGGCGCAGGCGAAGGACGTGCGAGTGCCCCCCGTGGCTGCTCATGCGCTCGTGCACTGCCTTCTCAACAACCTCCGAGACCGCCGACAAATGAATGCGCTTAACGGCGACCAAGTCGCCCGAGTGGGTGTCGTGGCATAGGAGGACTTGGCCATACAAGGCATCGGCCAGCACCTTCTTTGGAACATATCGACTCATGGCCACAAGTGTTAAATGTAAATGACCTGTGATATCGGCGTGGTTGTCGTTCCATGACATTCTGACCACATGGAGGTCACCAGTTACAGATATCAGCCCAGTTAGGCGAACGACCCAATATGTACCGAATACGTGCTTTGTAGCCTGGCGAGTTATACGCGAAAGGCTAATGTGTCCAGAAATTTAGCTCTGCAAAACCATTCAATTGACAATGAAGTGGCATAGCTTCAGAGCTCGTGTGATCGCAGTGAGCTGGAGATGCGCGCAGCCGTGGACAACAGGTAACGTTAGTACTGTACTAGTAGTACTTACTACCGGTCAAGTTAGCTCGTCTCAAACGAGCCAGAGGTAAAGTAGAACTGGGCAGCAATGTCACGTACAAATTTAGGTATGTTCTATGCATGTCGAATATAGTATATAGTATGTTAAGTAAATGTCTTGTTTGAATATTATTAAAAAGGATGCGTTTTTGTGAATTATACAGCTTCGTGAAGTACTCCGCCACATCGAGTTCAGAACATGTAAAATATCGAAATGCACATGGCGCACGGAGAGGAACTCAAAGCTGAATGCTTAACATTCTTTGGGGGGAAGTACTGTAGTCCATCAGAGAGCTCCTGCTGCGAGTCAGACATTCCCTGCGACGAGGATGAAGTGTCTACCACAGCAACAGCTGTCACTAGTACAAAACTGCAGCCAACGCACAAAATGGCGATGCTACATTTGGAATATACTAGTAGTAGTAAGTGTACGACATGGCTGTGGCTCTATTCGTTGTGAGCTGTACAGTACATATATGTACATATACATGCCACGCAATCTCCAGGACGTTGTGCCAGTGACCTATGCAATACTAAAGACTTACTAGTACGAGACAACATTGAATATTAATACCAACCGTGGATACTATGGTTAATATAATATAATTGTTGAATTAAAAGCGTGGATGACATTTGGATGACATGGGATGAAGTTGTGGGATGAAACCTAAAGTAGTGACCAAGCCTTACCTTGGCCCCTAGCGCCCGGGAGGCCGTCTGCGCGCGGATCTAAGCTTCTCACTTCACCGAATGATCTACCTTTTCTTCTTGTCAGGTACTAAATAGTAGGCCGTAGGCCGTGCCGCTCCTAGACGAGGTCTACATGCAATGACCTACCATTATCCTAATTTACTCTCATCTATACTTCACGTAACGGTAACGTTAGTATCAATTGCCACTCACGGCTTAACTGGTAACATTAATTTATCGTAAGTCTTCACCGCACAAATGTAGCCCACCTCACTTTGTGAATATAAACGTAAGTAAATAAATCATTGGTCAGCATTACACGGATGCTATTGCTGGCATGACGACATCATTACTGGGACGCTTCCACAGGCGATTCACGTACGCCCACGCCTTGGTGGCTTCTAGGATGACCTTGGCCGGGGCGAAAGCATCGGGGGCTTCAGTCGAGATTTCGACTGAGTTGTCCACTTCAACGCTTCGAAGGTACGCATGTGCTAAGACCTGGTCCAGCCTGCACCGCATCACAGGGTTGGGCTCGAGCATGAGCTCGAGTAGCTCTGTGGCTTCGGCATTCACGTCCATCTTCCACGAGTTGAACAAGTTGCGAAGGCCGTAGTGGCTCAGGTACTTGAACCGGCAATCGGAGGGGGTGGCCAGCTGACACAGAGGAACTCCTGTCAACATCATGAACAGCACGACCCCCAACGACCACACATCGGCAATGGATGGGTCGTACTGCAATCCTTGGGCTACTTCGGGGGCCATGTAGAATTCCGTGCCCACTTTATCCGAACACCGAGCTGTGGTCGACGCGGCGAGCCCGAAGTCGCACACTCGGCACGTGTCGCTGTCGTCAATGAGGACGTTTTCTAACGACACATCGCGGTGTGCGACACCGTTGGCGTGCATGAAGGCAATGCCCAACGCGATCTGGTGAAAGTAGCGTTTTGCGACGTCGTTCGGGAGGGCGCCATGATCCATCGCCGAAAACAAGTCCCCTTTCCGACAAAAATCAAAGACCAAGTGATCGGCGCCGTTTTGGACGTAGTCTTGCCGCATGGGAAGGATGTTGGGATGGCCGCCGTGGCTGCGGAAGAGCCGGTTGACGTGCTTCTCGACCTCAATGTCTTCTCGTACACGGGGGCACTGGCACCCGTGGAAGGCAGTGACGGGATCCATCTTTTTGATTGCGACCAACTCGTCCGTACATATGTCGTGGCCCAGCAGCACTTCACCGTACAAGGCTTCGGATAGCGTCCGATCAATGCAATACGTGCCCATACTATGTGCCAAAGTGCTTGCAAATTCGAAAGTGACAGTGGCGTGCACCCATGTAAATATATATACCGCGGTAAAGCCACACGCACACAACACGAGTGGTCCTGCATGGTTGATTGCATTTGCCTAATCATGTAGGGGAACATGACTGTAGGATTTAGGCGACCGAAAAGGACGAGCTGTGTCCCCAGGTTTAATAATAACCATCCAAGTTGATAGGCCCCTCGTACATTGTATATACACGTCAATGAACGATGGTTCATGAAGTGAGGTGCTGGTAATGCTGCACATATGTACTAGCGTTACTAGTACAGTGTAGTTTTGCACCATCTTTGTGCTCGGGGAATCATTACTTCATTAATGGGGTTCGTTATTGTTGCACGTTCGGCTACACACTGAGCGTACTAAGTAACAGAATGGAAAGGCCCACGGGCGCGGACCGTGTTCCACGAGTGAAGCTGCATCACCAAGAGTTTGCTACTGTGTCACTGACCATTTACCGCATTTACCATTGGTATTTCGGATATCAGCAAATGCAAAAAAATTATCATTTCCAAAATTTGCATTCTATTATCGTATCTTTGCACCAAATGGAGCAAAATCGTCGTTTTACTATTATAGCACGAACGAAGAAACACCTAACTTGAAATTCAGCTAACGTTACCCAGTTTTATACCGGTATAGTAGGAGGTAACGTTAGCGGTCAAAAAAAATCAAAGTGGCAATTCGATTACCCGAAAAAACACTGTAATATACAAGTCAAATTATGGGGCGCATGTTGGGTCGCCATGCTTAAAAATCCTTTGGACAAAGGCGAATGCTGTTGCAGCTCGGCTGCATTTGGTATTGGACTCCAAAGTTGCCTTCAGTACTGACTTCCTTCGGCCAGCAATGAACTCGTGATCGACAACTTGGCCCAATCCGAATCGTTGTGCGGGTTGGGGCTCGAGCATGTGCGCCAGCAAGTCGACAACTCGGATCTCCAACTCGATCCCCCATATTGAGATAAGGTTATGTAAGCCGTTCATCTTAAAGTACTCGAATGACTGGTCGTCTGGAGATGCCACTTGCCAAAGGGGGACACCCGTCAGCATCATAAATAGGATGACCCCAAGGGACCACACATCGGCCTTGCAGGGGTCGTATGAGTGTCCAAGAACTACCTCGGGTGCCATGTAGAAGCTCTTGCCAACCGTTTCGTCGCACACGGGGGCGCCTACAGACGTGGCGAGGCCAAAATCACACACTTTGCAGTTGTGGTGGTGGTCGAGCAGCACGTTCTCAAGGGACAGGTCGCGGTGGGCAATTCCTTTGTCGTGAATGTAGCCCACTGCTTGGATAAGCTGTCGAAAGTAACGTTTGGCCACGGGGGGGAGGAGGGGGCCATGTCTGAGGGCGTCAAATAGATCGCCCCCGGGGCAGTAATCAAACACCATGTGGTCGTGGTCGTCTTGAACAAAGTCAGCTCGCATTCGAAGGATGTGGGGGTGGCCGCCGTGGCTGCTGAGAAGGCGGTTGACGTGTTTCTCTATGGCAACGTTTTCGGCAATCCGACCACGACGGGTGTTACCCACTGGACGATGCGCAGCTGCTGCGAGAACGTTCATTTGTTTGATGGCCACAGACTCTCCAGTCGCAGTGTCGTGGGCGAGGAAGACGCGGCCGTAGAGGGCATCGGCAAGTGGTCGCTGAATCGCGAAGCGGTCCATCGTGCTATTCACTCGAGTTCAAACAAGGCAAATGGAAATCTGAATAGTCAGTCATCGCACCTACGTTGGGAATGTAGTATCTGCTAGTGTATTCAGTCTTTATGCGACACAGACATGGGGAAACTACCGGTAGTCGACTTAAAATATCCTCCACCCGCCGCAGGTCAGACAGGGACAAAACCAAGGGGAGGAGTTGTTTCGGCCCTTCAGGTCATTCAAACGATTGGACATGGCTTAACCTTCGAATACTATCTGGGGCACTGATAGCGCCATAAACACCGCCACGATGAGTGGACAACTCGCGTTGTTACGATTTTCCAGATGATTAGATGAAGTTCCAAATCTCACCTCGAAAGACTTCGTTAAAGTTCGCCACAGGCGCAACCAAGATGGTCGATGTTGCAATCTCCGAAGACCTTTCAACGAACCGAAGAGACTATGGTACTACCGGTAGTCCACCACTATGACGACAAGACATGCATGTTATCAGTGGCTTGTACGCTTACGCCAGCCAACCAACCAGGCTACTCATACAATGGCAATGACTATGTATATAACGTACACCAACAAGGCACAAAAAGTATGGCAATGCAGCTGCCAATGTGTGTTTCTTTATTCCAATTCTCAGTAAGTTCATGTTATCGCTGACGAACCATACCAGAAATACCATGACGATGCCCGAAATGCGACTTTTAATTATCAATTTTCGCAGATTCGTGAATTCATCGTGTAACAAACATTATGTATATTTGCCAATCGTGTACCTTGACTCGTCGTCCGCGCGTAGTATTCGCCCCTTGCTCTCGCCACTGTGCAAATCACGGTCCGAATCCGGCACAGCCCCCGTTCGCAGCAGGAGAGTTACCAACGCGAAGGTTTTGCATGCATTGCAATACGTACATGTATTCGAATGGCATATAATTCTACGCTGTGAACAATTAACCTCCAGATCAAAGACTGAAACTTCAACAAGTGATTGAACAGCTAACAAGAACAATTATTTGTTCTTGAAGGGATTTTCATGACTGGTTAGACATTCAAGTTATAGAATTCACAGTCAACGTTAGCAACAAGCGATCTTTTTGCTATATTTTAGTGAATATATACCCGTTTCAATTGAAAATTTGTATGCCAGGTCAGAAATAGAATTGCGCAGCGAGCTGTATAATCAATAGACTTTGAAAGTGAATACCCTTCAAAATATTCTCATCAGAGTATTGGAATGTATGTCAATATTCACCCAACAACATTATAACCTCCCGGGGTTTATAACAAAAGGCAAAAATTGTTTATTCATTTATAGAGGTTTTGTTTAGAAGTGTAATGGAGGCCCTATTTATTTTTATATCTTCTCAAAATCAAATATAGACACAGGAATCGCCAGGTCAATGATGCTTCATAACTCTAATCTCAAACTCATGAACCCATCCATTGCATCCTGCTTTGCCTTTGTCAAGGAAGCTCGACACAGAACGTTGACTCGTGAGGAACGCCTGGACATCCTCCGTCTGCACGCATATTTTCGAAGTCAAGGCACCAAGGCTGCTGCTGCGAAGGTGGCAGAGTTGCTTGGCCGTGGGCTTGGGGTTGTCAAAGAGGTTTGGCGTGAGTACCTCCAATCGCGCTCTGTAACTGTTGCTGTGCCCCCATCGAACACCACGACGCACAGAACGACTGTCCCCAGAACAAAGCAAGTTGTTAGCATGGTTCAAGCATTCGTTCGTGGCCGACGCGCAACAAGGACCCGTACAACTGCTGTGGACATCGTCATCTTCCTGCGTGAGATATGTGTGTTGGACTTCGACTTGGAGGACAAGAAGGTGTACAGCCTCCACCTCCGATCGGTTC